CCGAACTCGCTTTTCGGGAGACTAACCGAGATATTCCAGTATCGGAGCCATAATTGCAGAGTATTCAGGTCTTCACAAAGTTTGTCCCAGGTAGGCGCCCCGTGAGCTATGTCGTCTATGTAAGAGCTTCGTCCCAGAACCGGTCCCATCTGCGTCGGGGTCGGAATGTTTCGCCTGAATGCAGTCGCCTCCTTCATCAAATCTGGAAGTCTGAAACCACCTTCGCCTTGAGGATCTTCTATCGTCGGTCCTGTGTCTGGGACGGTCAACTCCAGAAATTCCAGGACATCTCGGTCGACCTTAGCCTCTTCCTCAGGTGGGAGCTGCACGAATCCCCAGAGACAGTTATTGATCACACTCTGATACACTAACGGTGCATTCTTGAGTTCAAAAGGCATCAGGATCCACTGGAAATGTCCGAATGGACCGACAAAGGCCGCAACCAACTTCGCCCGCTCTGTCATCTGGATCGCCCAGAAACCGCTCGCCGTATCTAGACTCATGAACCATGCCGCAGCATTAAAATCAGTCAGCAAGTCGTCAATCAGAGGTAGGGGTATCGCGGTAGCTTGATCAACTGGTTAACCAGCCTATAATCAACACACAGTCTGATATCTTCTCCATTCTTCTTCAAAACGATCACGATCGGGGATGACCACTCCGATTCAAAATGTTCAATGTAATGAGTCCAGTCTCTAGGAGCTTAATCAGGAGTTCGTAAACTTTCAGCAGATATCTGGAGGCGATCTGTCGAGCACACAGTGCTATCGGCATCGCATCACCTACATCTAAGTCACAAACGACTCCACGAGCTGGGGCCGGTGCGGCATTGCCATTGCCTAAAATGATACGACGATGATAATTCAAGATCTTTCGCATCTTGTCCTTCATCTCTGGGGTCGTGACGCCTGGAACGCCAACGTCAGCTTTGTCGATGTCGCATTCCGGACTCAACTCTTCCAACTCCGGAAACATAGTCAGATGATCGCTCAGCTGAGCTAAAAGCTCCGTAGGTATACAGCGGGTTCCAGATCTAATTCTTCCAACGTCACTCGCATGACACGTCGTTCCAGTCTTTGGACTGGAGTATCTGAGATGTCGGAGACGTTATCCATGGGGTCTGAGAAATCGTCCAATGCACTCTCAAGGACATTTTCTAGTGCGTCTTCCGAGTCGAATTCTGGAACGAGCTCTGCAACGTCGTTCGTTCCTGAGGCACAATTTTGTAGGAAGTCCGTGTGCTTAGCGTGTGACTCACTCTCTGAGTTCACCACTACGACTGAAGCCAAAACCGCAGAACACGCTTCTCTTTATAAGACAACTAAATACAATACAGAGAGC